AATTTTTCCTACCAACTACGTTTTATCTGTTTTTCATTTTGCGATATTGAAATACAAAAGATTACAGCGAAACTGTAGTCAAATTACAATAAATCTATCATTATTAATCTTTAATCACTGACTTTGGACTATTTTTCAAAAATAAAATGATTCATGATTGTTCTCAATCATTAAACATAATTAAACTTTTAACACTTAAACTCACTTGCACATAATTTCAAATAAACAAACTTAAACGCCACTTAAAATTTAACTTAATGATTGTATTTTTCTCAAACAATTAATCATAAATACATATTTTCACGTTTTTATTACAGTTTATGCCACCTGTCACAATTCATCAACCAGCCCGTGGACACCATGCAGTCGAATGTGCGGCCTTGGAATATCAACTCGTTTTACCACAACAACAGCAGGCTGTAATCAATTAAGCAATTTGCGATTATGTGAAAATCGCAAATGCGAAATACAACAACAACATCCAGACAATATTCAGACACAAGAAGAAATAAAAACTAAAGAAAAGCTAAAAAATTTAATGAAAACAAAACATAAATTACGAAACAGACAGCAAAGACATCATGATATCAAACATCAACAACAACAGAAGCATCAAATGCAACAGGAGCAGGGGCATACCGAAACAGAACATGAACACAGAATAAGAGTAAGTAGCATAGAGATAATGTTGATGGAACGTTATGATAATTACTGTTCATTATCTTAAAAATAATCATAAATAATAAATTAAAATTGTTAATTTATGTCGTAGTTAGTACCTACTAGAGCCCTGCATGAGTGACTTAAATAATAAATTAAAACATTTGATTTTTTTCAAACACTGTGTTTGACTCACTCATTGTTTTATGAATGAAATGAATAGTATATTTGAAAATAAGGAATGTTAGTCAATACTCAATTCAAACGAAACAAGTAATGAGAGTGTTTGTGTGATTCAATTCAAGTAGTATACAGTGAGTGAATCGAGTGAAAGCAAAACAATTTTTAAGTTCGACAAATTAACAGATTTTTTGAATATTACTTCGAATTTTCGAACTTAATTTCGAATAGTCGAAGATAATATAGTAGGGTCATCAACTGTACTTAACACTGCCAAATTTCAGGCAATTTGGTCCACGGAAACTGGTTTTATCAGCTTTAAATTTTTTTCGAACATGAGTTCGAATTTTCGAAAATTTTTTTTTAGTTTTTTGGACTCAAAGAATAATTTAAAAGCATAAAAAATTTTTCGAACATAACTTCGAATTTTCGAACTTAATTTCGAATATTCGAACATAATATTATCTTGTCATCAATTGTACTCAAGACTACCAAATTTCAGCGAATTCGGGCCACAGGAACTAGTTTTAACAGCATTCAAAATTTTCACCATTTATTCAAGAAAAAGTTTGAATCGATTCATTCGATTTAAACAATCTATTTTGTATTGTTTTAACATAAACAAATTGTTTACTCGCTCGATTTGAATGTAGTTGCACATTCACTTGATAGTACTCACAACGTTTGAGTATAACAAAACTTTGTAAATACTATCCTAAACAAACAATGAGTTGAGTGCAAAGCAATGAGTCACTCATTGTGTGTAGCAAATAGAGTTACTCATGCAGGGCTCTAGTACCTACCCCTAAAAGTTTATTTTCTTTTATTATATTACGTGTTTTTTTTTAAACAGAAGGGCCATGAATGCCGCAGTATACAGCGTTTGGGACCGGCTCGTATACGCCTGGGACAGTGTGTCTCAAAAAAACTATATCGTCCAAAAATATGTGGACGTTGTCATCAAACTACAAAATGTTGTGTGCCTTCAGTATCAACCACAATACAGGTGGGTTGATTTCACTTTAACTAATTATAATTATGGGAAAAAAGTGATTAAAACTTTATTACCAACAACATGTTGTTGCAACATCCTTATACTACGAATCTGGCTTGGAAATTAAATTTTATACCAGACAATATAGACTGAACTATATATATCTATAGACTAGACTATAGACTAGACTATAGACTAGACTATAGACTAGACTATAGACTAGACTATAGACTAGACTATAGACTAGACTATGACTAGACTATAGACTAGACTATAGACTAGACTATAGACTAGACTATAGACTAGACTATAGACTAGACTATAGACTAGACTATAGACTAGACTATAGACTAGACTATAGACTAGACTATAGACTAGACTATAGACTAGACTATAGACTAGACTATAGACTAGACTATAGACTAGACTATAGACTAGACTATAGACTAGACTATAGACTAGACTATAGACTAGACTATAGACTAGACTATAGACTAGACTATAGACTGACTATAGACTAGACTATAGACTAGACTATAGACTAGACTATAGACTAGACTATAGACTAGACTATAGACTAGACTATAGACTAGACTATAGACTAGACTATAGACTAGACTATAGACTAGACTATAGACTAGACTATAGACTAGACTATAGACTAGACTATAGACTAGACTATAGACTAGACTATAGACTAGACTATAGACTAGACTATAGACTAGATTATAGACTAGACTATAGACTAGACTATAGACTAGACTATAGACTAGACTATAGACTAGACTATAGACTAGACTATAGACTAGACTATAGACTAGACTATAGACTAGACTATAGACTAGACTATAGACTAGACTATAGACTAGACTATAGACTAGACTATAGACTAGACTATAGACTAGACTATAGACTAGACTATAGACTAGACTATAGACTAGACTATAGACTAGACTATAGACTAGACTATAGACTAGACTATAGACTAGACTATAGACTAGACTATAGACTAGACTATAGACTAGACTATAGACTAGACTATACGATCTAGACTATAGACTACTAAGATAGACTAGACTAGACTATAGACTAGACTATAGACTAGACTAAGACTAGACTAGACTAGACTATAGACTAGACTAGACTATAGACTAGACTATAGACTAGACTAAGACTAGACTATAGACTAGACTATAAGACTAGACTATAGACTAGACTATAGACTAGACTATAGACTAGACTATAGACTAGACTATAGACTAGACTATAGACTAGACTATGACTAGACTATAGACTAGACTAAGACTAGACTATAGACTAGACTATAGACTAGGACTATAGACTAGACCTAGGGACTATAGACTAGGACTATAGACTATAGACTAGACTATAGACTAGACTAGTAGACTAGACTATAGACTAGACTATAGACTAGACTATAGACCTAGACTAATAGACTAGACTATAGACTAGACTTAGACTAGACTATAGACTAGACTATAGACTAGACTATAGACTAGACTATAGACTAGACTATAGGAGACTAGACTATAGACTAGGACTATAGACTAGAACTATGGACTAGACTATAGACCAGACTATAGACTAGACTATAGACTAGACTATAGACTAGACTATAGACTAGACTATAGACTAGACTTAGACTAGCTAGACTATAGACTAGACTATAGACTAGACTATAGACTAGACTATAGACTAGACTATAGACTAGACTATAGACTAGACTATAGACTAGACTATAGACTAGATATAGACTAGACTATAGACTAGACTATAGACTAGACTATAGACTAGGACTATAGGACTAGGCTATAGACTAGACTATAGACTAGACTATAGACTAGACTATAGACTAGACTATAGACTAGACTGTAGACTAGACTATAGACTAGACTATAGACTAGACTATAGACTAGACTATAGACTAGACTATAGACTAGGACTATAGACTAGACTATAGACTAGACTATAGACTAGACTATAGACTAGACTATAGACTAGACTATAGACTAGATATAGACTAGACTATAGACTAGACTATAGACTAGACTATAGACTAGACTATAGACTAGACTATAGACTAGACTATAGACTAGACTATAGACTAGACTATAGACTAGACTATAGACTAGACTATAGACTAGACTATAGACTAGACTATAGACTAGACTATAGACTAGACTATAGACTAGACTATAGACTAGACTATAGACTAGACTATAGACTAGACTATAGACTAGACTATAGACTAGACTATAGACTAGACTATAGACTAGACTATAGACTAGACTATAGACTAGACTATAGACTAGTCTATAGTCTAGTCTATAGTCTAGTCTACAGTCTAGTCTATAGTCTAGTCTATAGTCTAGTCTATAGTCTAGTCTATAGTCTAGTCGTAGTATAACTAAATTCGAAATTCTTCGTATGAAGAACGCCTTAGTGTCTAGTCTAGACTATAGACTAGACTATAGACCTAGACTATAGACTAGTCTATAGTGAGTGAGTGATTTCCTCCTCGCTTTTAGGATTTGACTCCTCAACATTGCTAGTACTTGCTAATGATGCTTTGGGTACTCTCTTAGGTGTTTTAGTGTCCTTGTCGGGGCCGGTTTTGACAGCCCTTTCAATCGGCGCCTTCCCAATTTTGGAAAGGGCAACTACACTTTCTTCTGGCGAGTTAATGGTAAATTCCTCGATTTTAGGATTTGACTCCTCAACGTTATCAGTAGTGGATACTGATGCTGTGGTCTTAGGTTTTTTAGTGTCCTTTTCGAGGCTTGTTGTAACAGCCCTTCCAATCGGCACCTTCCCAATTTTGAATATGACAGATTTAGAGGCGAAGTAAGCCCTACCTTTATTCTTGGCAAGACTAGCCATGGATTTCTGGTCGATACCTATTACAAATAAAGTTCCCTCAGGTTCTTCTTTCCTGTAAAAGACATCCCATTTTTCCACGGCCAGCTCAGCATTTTGACCTCCAAGAATTTCCAGTATACGTTCATTAGCCAGTTTACTGCCCCATCCTTTTATGTAGACAGTGGACTTTAGGAGCACCGGAAGCTCGCTCTTCTTTGCCAGTCCCAGCCTAGCGCCGTCCCAGGGAGGAGGGATACTTTCCACCAAGTTCTTTAGGGTGCTAACACATTGGTGAGATGCCAACCTCATCAACATCACGCCCATGCTGAACTCGCAGCTCTCGCTCTCTATTGGTTGTTTGCCCTTTGAAGCGATTGCATGGTCCACTATCTTATTGTTGACCAGGTCTTCTATTTTACTCTGTTGGTCTATTGGAATTTTGCCTGTCGGATTACCGGCATCGTAAACTGCATAGCAGAGATCGTCCCGGTGCCTACTTCTGGCAACTTTGGCGTAAGATGGCGGCTCTTTTCCTTTTCCTCCGTCTAGCTTCTCCTTCCTCGTTTTTCGGGGCTTCTTTTGAGATTCCCTTACCTTCGAGGTTGATTTCGCCGACGTGTTCGTCTTCGGAATATCTGGCTTGGCGTTGTCACCCTTACTCGCAGGATTCTCACTTGAGATTCCTTTGAGTGAAGTATGGCTTGGCTTCGACTGTGTATTAGAAGACGGGGAGCTCTTTTTCTTCTTAGGTTTATTCTCAGTTGTCAACTCCTCGGGAGACCTGATCCTTTTTGCCTCAGATCTTGTGAGAGAGTCCGATTTTTCCTTTGGAGTGTCGTGGGATTGACTAACTATGATTTCTTGAAGCATCTTTTTCAACTTCCTCCTCTGTGCTCCAGAAAGTCTTTTCTTAGTAATAGGTAGTTTAGCTATGCTATCACTCACCTCTTTCACCATTTGCTCTACTTCATCCTTTTTGGGATTTGCTATAATGGTATTATTTTTATTATCATCTGAGGATTCAGAGTCGGAACCCTCACCTATATTTAAAGGCTGAGGTAGCTTAGAGCTCTCTCCGAGTACATCCTTCTCTTTCACCCCTATATTTTTGCCAGCGGCATGCTGTACACTTGACGCATTGTCCGCCACGGAGGCCAAGGTACCCACCTCCGTAGTAGTATTCTGCTCACGATTGCAGGATGACGACGACACGTGACTCGCGAGTAGATCAACACTTGCCGCCGGTACTGGGTTATTTAGGCCCTGCACCGTAACTTTTATCTTTTTATTTTTATTTTCCATATTTGTTTTTTTTTTTTCCAGTTTTTTGGTCCGCGGGGAATATAATATTCCCAGGTGGTGGACAATCTGCCCTCCCTCAGCTTAAGTGAAATTAAAGCTGGGAGAGGACAGATGGTCCATCACCACCCCCTATCCGCCACCCGGGGACGCGCTCGGTAGGAAAAATCTGGAAAACTCCCCCGAGTCTAGTCTATAGTCTAGTCTATAGTCTAGTCTATAGTCTAGTCTATAGTCTAGTCTATAGTCTAGTCTATAGTCTAGTCTATAGTCTAGTCTATAGTCTAGTCTATAGTCTAGTCTATAGTCTAGACTAGACTCTAAGGCGTTCTTCATACGAAGAATTTCGAATTTAGTTATACTACGACGATTATCATCATATTAAGATATTCGTATGCATCTCTAAAAACAAAGTTTTCCTTCGTTGTCTCTCCAAAACTTTGTGCTTCATACAAAAACGTTCATCTTAATTCTAAATCTTTCGTATTTTTAGTAAAACTTTGGTTTTCACACTAGAGCATTTCTTGCAAACTAAGAAGTTCGTCATCATATGTCTTCATAGGTGGCGTGTAATAATGTCCAGTGTCTTTACGTCCATGGACATTATGGCACGTCATGTTAATTCGTTCCTCTACGAATTTCTTATTACCCATAAAATAAAACCTTTAAATTTGATTTTTTGTATTTGATCAGGTGGAATTACTTTGTCCTCTTAATGCCATGGATCCAATTAGTTTTGTACAACAACAACTAATGACTGGACAACAACAACAGCAACAAGGTCAACTTTACAAAACACTTAAAGCATCAATATCAACAGACTCAACAACATCAACATTGACATCATTATGGGATACTCATTCGCTGGATGCCATCGATCAGGAATATTTACAATCGCATCAAATACAAATTGCAAATAAATTTATTGCAGTCGAATGGATTTTAAAATGTGAATGTACAAAAAATGTAAGTACAACTACTTATCTATAAGGAAAACAGGACATATTTTTTTCAATATAATTTTTTATTTCACTTATAAAAGATACAACTGTAGAGATAGATAAAAGCTTTAACTTAAGTGCAGACAGGAAGGAAATGGAAATAAATTTGAAGAGGAAGACATCAATTTCATTGGAAATCATTAAAAGGAAATACAGTTTTTCTTATCCATGAACTACTTTCCTTCCACTTAAGTTAAATTAAAGAAAATTATACTAAGAGTTTTGTTAAACAAAAGGACGAAAAAAAAAATGTGGATTAAAGTGTATAACATTTTAAAGAACATTGTAAAGAACTTTAACAAATATTTTTTGAATATTTGTTGAAATAGTTAAAATATTTTTTAGCAATTAAGGCAATAGTTGTTAAACTCTAAAATTTTAAGAAGTTAAGGACAACATTTTATAAAGTTACCTAGCTTGAAGGCAAAATTCCTATAATTTGAAAACATTTAAATTTGTTGAATTTCTTTTATGTTTATTTTTATTTTTCTACATTTTTTTATTAAAACTAGAGTTCGCCCCGCGGCCGAAATTCGACCGGAACCATTGAAGTAAAGATTTTATTCTTATACTGCAAAATAAAACCCTACTTTTATAGTCCAAATGTCTGAAAAAAATTATTTCAATTTCTATTATCAATGCGTATAACTTGCTTTGATCAACGTATTCTTTTAGAAAATGTGATAAAATTTGGTTAAAATTCTGAAAGAAGTTTAAAATCTAAGTTCTAAAATTATTTATGCAACATATTTTTCAAAAATATTTGAACTTTTTTAAAAGCAAAAACAACGAACATTTATTTTTTCGATTTATTATCCCCTACATAAATGTTCATAAAATCTATGCAAAACTTACAATATGATATATTCATTCCTTACAATATGATATTTTCCTATGTTTAACAATCTGCCAATTCCTCCAGCAATCATCAATGCCCCTTTTCGTAAACAATGTCGATCCTGCCCAGCACTATTCCTATGTAACCTGTAATAATATTCAACCTATATATCTATATCCCAGCAAAAAAAAGAAAAGGTCTAGAGAAGTGATGATTTTAACACAGATTATTTATAGGCGGAATGTCTCTTTTATTTGATTCCAAATTCATTACTCCTGAAGTCATTCTCAAGAATAAATTTTTATAATATATTTTTTATAGTTGAAATTGTAATTTTTTAAGAGGAATCAGAAAAGTACAAACCGCTAAAAATATTTTCAATAGGGCTGTAACAATTGAATTCGAAAAATCATTTATTTATGAAACTATCCAAATTTGTTTTTTGCTTTTTATAGCTGACAGATAACAAAAACAAAAATAGATTTATATTCTCAAGAGCGCACAGAATCCAAACCTATAAGCTTTTTTCAAAACTGGACATAGATTTTAATAACCAAAATTCAACGTATCTTCTGTGTTTTCATCTTTTGTAACTATGTTTTTCCGCAGAAGGTAGACTTGAAGTAGTCCTTCAAAAGTACAAATTACGATCTAACAAAATTTCATTTAAAATTCAATTTTTCAATTATTGCTATCAGGACTGTAAAAGGATTTCATTCCGATCAAAAGTGGAATTTTTTCCGGGTTTTTGTATTTTGAATAAAGTAAAAAGACCTTTTTTGGAATGAAACCACTTTCAATTTTTAAAGTGGGATGTTTTAAATCATTGTTTTTTTAAGTTTTAATAAATATCTTTACTTAAATACCTCCATTTATTTGGCTTAAATTTAAATGTTTTTTAATCGAATTTAATAGTAGATATTCTATGAAGCTTTACTACTTATAGGCCTTTAAGCGAAGACCTTTTAATAGGCATTCTATTAGCTTTCGCATAGAAGTGCATAGGCAAGAGAGATCTTGCAACAGGGATAGATTCTTGAATCTGGAGAATAAGACTTAAACGCCTCTTTACTTCAAGAGTTTGTCCATGATTTAGTTATTATTTAATTTTTCATAATTATTTAAGTACTTCTTAAGAAATGTTTGAAAGAAAACGTTAATAAACTATAAATTCCAGCCTTATACCTATTAACATATGTAAGTTTAATTGCATGTAAAAGAATAATAAACGATAAATTGCTAAAGGTGGTATTAGACGACATTTATTTTACTCTTATACCACCTTAAGAAAGGGCAGTCATCAAACATAATTTATATTTGACCCGATTCAACATTTTTCTATTTTTATAAAACATATAAGTAACCATCGCCTACACTACAGTTTTCACTTTACACTACTATTTTAACAACCGCCTTTTTCCTAATTGGTTAGAATAACCGGAAAAAGAAGAATATCATCAAATCCTCACTGTGCTAAACCTACGTATTAGCGATATACTGATTCATTTATTACGGTGTATCATGTACCGACATGACAAACTAAACTATCCTACTTATATTTTAAAAGGCTTTGTTTTTGTCCATCATTAAAATATTTAAAATCAATAAAAACTAACATTTATGTAGAATTGTTGTCCCACCTCTGTTTCCCAGGTCAAACATCATCATCCTCTTGTATCTTACATCATTAATATAATAATATATCATTATTACATTCAAAATTGATCACTTTACACTTTTAAAAAATAAAAAACAATAAAATCATATTATCGCTTTGTCTAAGCCAGTCTGTATACTTATTAGTTTACAAAAATCTTATTAAAAACAACAACAAAAAATATCATTGCAATTTGCAAAATACAAAATACAAAAATAAACCATCAACAGAGAAGTAACATGTTTTTACACTCTCCTCTCTTTTATGAAAAAACAGTGTTGTTGTTTTGCTTTCTTATTTTGTTTTCTATTTTTTAATTCAAGCACATGTTTGTGTGATTGTGTATTGGTAGAAACTTTAAACGCTTATATTTCCGAAAATACTGAACCAATTTTGATCATATATACATTCTGCAGTGAGGCTCGCGAATCTGCATTCATTAAAAAAAGAATCAAGAAAATCGGTCAAGTAATAGAGCCGGAAAATGTTCCCAATCGTTTTGGCTTCGCGTATTTATATATATATGATGATGATGTAATAACGTTATTAAAATGTCACATTATTTCTTCATTTATTTATCTGCTATTATGGTAAAAGCATCGAAATGAAATTTTACTGTTTTCCATTATATATTATCGCAACAATTTTTGTACGCATTTCTTAGCTTGATTTCTATTTTTATTTGGAGTTTTATTATTGTCGTCTTACAATAAAACATTTACTTGCTGTACAATAAAAATTATCATTATTCACGCATTTCACATTCAATAGATTTCGAGTTTTATACGCTTAAAGAACAATTGAGACAGAAAAAAATTATTGAGAAAAAATCAAATATAAATCGTGTGGTATTAACGCTACATAAAGATGGTTTAATGATCTGTCCCAAAGGTGAGTTTGTGACAATTAAGCCTGTTTGATCTGTTCTGTAGTTAGTCTTAGGTCTAGTTATAGGTCCTAGTCTATAGTCTAGTCTATAGTCTAGTCTATAGTCTAGTCCTATAGTCTAGGTCCTATAGTCTAGTCTATAGTCTAGTCCTATGTCTAGTCTATAGTCTAGTCCTATAGTCTATCTATAGTCTATCTATATGTCTTAGTCTATAGTCTAGTCTATAGTCCTAGTCTATAGTCTATCTTAGTCTAGCTAAGTCTAGTCTATAGTCTCGTCTATAGTCTAGTCTATAGTCTAGTCTATAGTCTAGTCTATAGTCTAGTCTATAGTCTAGTCTATAGTCCCTAGTCTATAGTCTAGTCTATAGTCTAGTCTATAGTCTAGTCTAGTTAGTCTATAGTTAGTCTTATCTAGGTCTAGTCTAGTCTATGTCTAGTCATAGTCTAGTCTATAGTCTAGGTCTATAGTCTAGTCTATAGTCTAGTCTATAGTCTAGCTATAGTCTAGTCTATGTCTAGTCTATAGTCTAGTCTATAGTCTAGTCTATAGTCTAGTCTATCTAGTCCTATATAGTCTAGTCTATAGTCGAGTCTATAGTCTAGTCTATAGTCTAGTCTATAGTCTTCTATCTAGTGCCTATAGTCCTACGTCTATAGTCCTAGTCTATAGTCTAGTCTATATAGTCTAGTCCTATAGTCTAGTCTATGTCGTCTATAGTCTAGTCTATAGTCTAGTCTATAGTCTAGTCTATAGTCTAGTCTATAGTCTAGTCTATAGTCTAGTCTATAGTCTAGTCTATAGTCTAGTCTATAGTCTAGTCTATTAGTCTAGTCTATAGTCTATCTATAGTCTAGTCTATAGTCTAGTCTATAGTCTAGGTCTATAGTCTAGTCTATAGTCTAGTCTATAGTCTAGTCTATAGTCTAGTCTATAGTCTAGTCTATAGTCTAGTCTATAGTCTAGTCTATAGTCTAGTCTATAGTCTAGTCTATAGTCTAAGTCTATTCTAGTCTAGTCTATAGTCTAGTCTATAGTCTAGTCTATAGTCTAGTCTATAGTCTAGTCTATAGTCTAGTCTATGTCTAGTCTATAGTCTAGTCTATAGTCTAGTCTATAGTCTAGTCTATAGTCTAGTCTATAGTCTAGTCTATAGTCTAGTCTATAGTCTAGTCTATAGTCTAGTCTATAGTCTAGTCTAGTCTATGGTCTAGTCTATAGTCTAGTCTATAGTCTAGTCTATAGTCTGGTCTATAGTCTAGTCTATAGTCTAGTCTATAGTCTAGTCTATAGTCTAGTCTATAGTCTAGTCTATAGTCTAGTCTATAGTCTAGTCTATAGTCTAGTCTATAGTCTAGTCTATAGTCTAGTCTATAGTCTAGTCTATAGTCTAGTCTATAGTCTAGTCTATAGTCTAGTCTATAGTCTAGTCTATAGTTAGTCTATAGTCTAGACTATAGACTAGACTATAGACTAGACTATAGACTAGACTATAGACTAGACTATAGACTAGACTATAGACTAGACTATAGACTAGACTATAGACTAGACTATAGACTAGACTATAGACCAGACTATAGA